TTATAATAGAATGTTTTCATACCCTCGTTTGATACCGTTGCTGTATAGCAACCACCACCAAATTTGAAACTTATAAAGCAGGTTATTAATAAAACCGAAAATAATCTGACCCTCAAAGCCAAATTTTGCCTTTATATTCACATATGTAAAAATTTGTTTGATGCGTAACAGTAACAATAATTTAATCATAGATCCATTTTTTGAGGCAAATATTAATACACACCATGAGAATTATTATTGATGTTAGTATTATGTTATACTTCTTTGATGGTCACGTAACAATAGATCTGTTTTTTGAAGACAAACGTTAATATGATGTTGCACACAATAAGAATTATTATTAATATTATTATCTATAACCCATTAGTAATACCAACTAGAATATTTTCTAATGGTTATGTAGCAATAATCCATCATTTAACCATAGAAGAAAACAAACATTAATACAATGTTTTACCATTAGTAATATATATTAATGAAGGTATTTTGATATTTTTTTCTTTGCATAACAATGATTAGTCGTTTGACCCATTGTTTGAAGGAAACAAATATTAACACTATGTTAGTAATCTGTATTAATAAAATTCTTTTTAATGAATGACACATTAAATGACAACAATACTCCAAAGACTTTAAAATAATCTAGTGGTTGAGTAATGATAGCTGTTGTTTTCAAGATGTGTTATTGACTTATTATACTTGAACTTGTATATTTTAAAAGACACCTCCTTTTCAAAGATTATTTTCTTAAAAAGAAAATGCATTTTGAAAAAAAAATTTTCTAATGCTAAGAGTAAACAAAAAGTATTTAAGCATAATTTGGTTTCTATTATTGTAAAAAATAAATAGTCATCATTTTTCATTTTATCTATTGATTCAATTATATTGGACTCCTTGTAAATTCTATTCAATAAATCTTAAAATTTTTGAAAGAATCCCTGAGAACTAAGGATTTTTGAGCTCAAAGCATTACTGATGGTTGATATAATTTTTTTAAAGCTTCAAAAAAAAAAAATACCATCAGCTATAAAAAACATTTTTTCTTGTATTTTCACAGGCTTTCATATAAACATATACACAACTTTAAACATTATAAACTTCTTGATTTTAACCTTGTAGAAATTTGGATTTCTTTGTTAATGTTAACAAAAATAATGAATTTAAAATAAAAAATTTTATTTTTTTCGAATTGCAATGTTGTTGGAGAAAGAAATAAGAAATATCTTAAAAACATAATTTATCTTCACATGATATGGAAATGTTTAACAATTTAGGGCGGTCTATATCCAATGTAGTTGAATACAAATTCTTCACTATCAAATATAAATAGTTTCTTCCGCCATCCCAACCACTTTTTCTTTTTGCATTGAATGGGTAATTAATCAATACGAAGCAGAATGCACTTCAAAAATGCCATGATTATGAACATATATAGTTTTGTTTCCTCCAAAAATGTATGACGATAATAACAATAATTATTGTGGTAGTAGTAACAATTTTGGTCCTTACGACGAATACATTAACTTTAACTATAAATTTATTATTTGATAATCATCATCTTAGTACAGTGCGGATCATCTATACTCGAAAATTAAAAATTTTGAAATATTATGTGATCCACATATTGGATTTTAAAAAACTTACCACCATTCAATTCAACTTTAAAAGGGGAGTCTATTAATCTAAAAAAAAAATTTGTCTCAAATTTTCTTTTTCATAGATTTTTTAAATTTGAAAGTTATGCTCAGAAGTGCAACAATAATTTTCGTGTTACAATATTTTGAATCTCACGACCAAATTTGGTAATGATTTTCTTTTAATGTAATATGTTCGTTAAACTTTTTTGTTGTAAAGAATTTTTATTTATTAATAAAAAAAAGGAAATAAATAAATCAAATAAATCAAATGTATGTTGTATATAGAAAATATTCTATAAAAAAAAGTTGTTACACGAAATTTACTTAGTCTCAATTTCTTAAATGTATAACAAAATTTGAAATTTTCAAAATGCTAAGGCTCTGCCAATTTCAGCTTAAGAAAAAACCAGCTGATAAGTTTTGAAGCTTGAGTCATGAACAATAAAACTTATCGGTTAAATTTTTTAAAATGATATAGTTTTTTTTTGTTTTAGTATTTTGAAGTTGACCAATTGTTACTATAAGCAATTAATGATTATAGATGATCTGCACCATACTTAATATGCCCTCATAAATAAGGATATAAGTATATTAAAAGAATAAATAAAATAAATCATGATAAACACAATAAATGAATTCCAAGAGTGAAATAAAGAACTATTAGAAGAAAATGAAAATTTAAAGAAGCAATTAGCAGATAAAGAAGAAAATCTCAAAGTAAAGATATGACATGTTACTGGTCAGTCTCTTGATGAAAAGGGTGAAGTTAGCATGTATGCTTCTACAGGAACAAGATGATACAAAAGACTAAACAAAAAGTGAATGGATGAAGGCAAGTTAAGAATGGCAGTAGATCCTAATGAAACTAGAGAATGAGCCAAGAATTGTAAAAGAATTTATTTTGATAACATTACCATTGAAGAAATGTTAGAAGGTTTCATTGATAGTTCTAATGAACTAAGTTCAGAATGATTAGACTATGTTAGAAAATGAAGCAGAACCAATAGTAAACTTTATGAACAAAAGAGAGATTATGAAGAAAAGATTACTTATGAAATTTACCAAGAAGAAAGAAAAATAATAACTGTTGGAAAAAGAAAACATCATGATGGTGCATTATTACCTAATAAAAAGCAAAAATCTTTAAAAGGAAAATAACTACTGTGAGATGGAAATTTTGACTTGTATCCGAGTTAACTCTAAATCCAATATATCTTAAAAACTAATAAAACTAATAAAACTATTAACTATCAAATAAATCTATAAATCAATATAACAACAGGAATTACTTACAAACTGGAATACCTTCTGGCCAATTAAAACTTTACAAGTGAAACCTCACTTAACCAATAAAATACACTAGCTAAAACAAATAATAATTGTAGCAAATCAGCTACTAACCTCCTTTTAAATGACAGTGTCACAACCTAGGCTTAGGCTTTAACTAAGACCTTTTATGTGATAAATAAACACAACCTAGGCTTAGGACTCTAAATAACTATTTACACTTTAAAAGGAAAATAACTACTGTGAGATGGAAATTTTGACTTGTATCCGAGTTAACTCTAAATCCAATATATCTTAAAAACTAATAAAACTAATAAAACTATTAACTATCAAATAAATCTATAAATCAATATAACAACAGGAATTACTTACAAACTGGAATACCTTCTGGCCAATTAAAACTTTACAAGTGAAACCTCACTTAACCAATAAAATACACTAGCTAAAACAAATAATAATTGTAGCAAATCAGCTACTAACCTCCTTTTAAATGACAGTGTCACAACCTAGGCTTAGGCTTTAACTAAGACCTTTTATGTGATAAATAAACACAACCTAGGCTTAGGACTCTAAATAACTATTTACATGTCAAGATTAAAGAGGCGTCCCACAATAATCTGACTAATTAATTAATTAATTAATTAATTAAAGTGAAAGAGTTTAAGGATAATTGTTTATTGATCAAGAAATTATGTGTAATTAAATCTTATGGTTCTTTTATTATTCAAAGTGGTAATTATTACATTTTTATTGATTCATCCCCACAAACTCTCTTTTCATACAGTCGAAATTTAACTGTATTTATACATGTTTTTAAGCATCTTACATAAAGATAAAATTATAAAAAATAATTATTAAGCTTTAGTAATAACTCTTTCTAAAAATGAAATTAAAGACCACAATTGATAACTATTATCTTGTAAACTATCTAAAATATTATATCATTTCTTTCTAATCTTTGAAAAATAAAGAACAATTCGATTAAATTATAACTTTGATTAAAAATAATAAATTTAATAAGATATAAAAATTAATCATGAAATAAGTAAATATAAACAAATGATAATCTGATGTAAGTATAAATAAAGTATTTGTGAATATTGCTTAATTCACACGAATATAATTAGAAATAAAATTATTATTCTTTGTTGTAACACGAATTAATAATTACATTTTATGCGCCTAAATCATGTGAATTAAATCACATTTTTAATCGAGTTGCACCAAATATCTTCGTGATTAATTCTTCCTCTTACACTACCATTTTCTTTGATAGTTGGAATGAATTTCAATTTATACAGAATATTCTTTAAACTACTTTCTCATTTTCAATCAAGATCATCTTTTAGTCTCTTTAACTTCAATTTGAGCAACTTGACCATTCTGCTGATCTTTTAATTTCCTGTTTTCCTCTTCTAGTTGTTTAATTCTTTCTTCTAAACTCTTCAGATTTTTCCTGAAACTTGGCTATTCCTCTCTTTCAATTTCTAATGCTTCTTCAGCAGTGGCTAATCCTTCTTGTAATCCATTTATTTGTCTTTCATAAAAAGCAGACTTACTTATTTCCTCACTAGGCAAAAGAGGGAGTTCCTTTTCTTCCATGTCTTCTTCATATCTAATATAAAAACAAACATATTTATCACCATGAACATCAATATAATGTTTAGTTTGTAATCTACTACATCTAAGGCTCTGAACGAATCAATGAAATTTGAACCAATTCAAACCAATTCGAATTTGAATCGAATCGAATCACTTAATTTTTGATTCATTTCATTCAAATTGAATTCAAATTGAATCAAATTGTACTTTGATTTGATTTGATTCAATTAGAACTGATTCAAATATATAATTTGATTCAAACGGATTTGAATTCAGATTGATTCAATTCAATTCAAATATATAATTTGATTGAAATAAGTAAATATAAACAAATGATAATCTGATGTAAGTATAAATAAAGTATTTGTGAATATTGCTTAATTCACACGAATATAATTAGAAATAAAATTATTATTCTTTGTTGTAACACGAATTAATAATTACATTTTATGCGCCTAAATCATGTGAATTAAATCACATTTTTAATCGAGTTGCACCAAATATCTTCGTGATTAATTCTTCCTCTTACACTACCATTTTCTTTGATAGTTGGAATGAATTTCAATTTATACAGAATATTCTTTAAACTACTTTCTCATTTTCAATCAAGATCATCTTTTAGTCTCTTTAACTTCAATTTGAGCAATTTGACCATTCTGTTGATCTTTTAATTTCCTGTTTTCCTCTTCTAGTTGTTTAATTCTTTCTTCTAAACCCTTTACCTTATCTAATAATTCCTGTTTTTGCTTTTTACTTCACTCTTCAGTTTTTTCCTGAAACTTGGCTACTACTTCTCTTTCAATTTTTAATTCTTCTTTGGTAATTGATTACTCTTTTTCTAGTTCTATAGCTTTATTTTCTAGGCGAAACTGAAAGCTTGTGAAAGTAGTTCATGTCAGAAAGTGTTTTAGTTGATTTAGTTTTTAAATGACTACAAAAACATCTGTTTCTATTCCTTTTTAACCTACCACATTTCTCACATCATGGAAGAGTTATCATAATTGTTTTTACATTCACCACAGATAAAGATAATGTCAAAATAACCATCAGGAGTATTACAAGCCATCATTTGATGAGTAGAAGGAGCAGTATCAAAATTAAGGAGAGTTGATTTATCTTAGAATTAATGCACAATGTAGTCTTCTGAGATTTTTGCTGAATGTATCATTTGATCTAATAAAATCTAATTGAAATGTAAAAAAAAAATAAACAAATGTTTGAATTTTTTTTTTTTTTTAATCAAAAAAGAAATTTTAAAATATATAAAAATGACAGATTTTGGACTGAGTTTGATGTATCAAAAAAAAAAAATAATTATTATAAATAAAAAAACATTTAATAACATTAATTCAACTAAACCTTTTTAAAAAAGCAATCTAAACTAACTATCACTTGTGTGATTGATTCAATAATTAACACTAAGAAACAAACAATTTCAGAATTATTGAAATTATGCCATTACAAAGGTGAAATAAAATAATAAATATTTAATTATATAGATAATACTTAGCTTTTGTGTTATTATCTAATCCTTTCCTCATATGTGAATTCCTTTGTCCTCACATCCATCACAATGATTATTCAATACATTTGATATCATCATTGACATAACAAACAATTACCGTAAAGTCTGGAAAGATAGCATCCCCTTTTTACATATGTGTAACAATTTTTTTATATTGATGCTCAATTGTTTTAAAGTAGGGGGTGCTATCTTTCCAGACTTTACGGTATATCACCAAGTAATAAATAATACCAAGGCCATACATAAATAAAACTTTTAATGAATGTGTCTCTCATAAATCTGATGTTAATCACAGGTATCAAATTTAATAAAACTTTCCTATCACAAACATACAAGCTAATGCAATTGCACACCCCTAGCACTGTGGAATTTTTCACAGGTAAGGGCAGATTGGACATGTTGGAGGGCTTTTTCAAGATGGGCAAAACTTTCCACATCTTCCCCTCAGACCAGGCATGACTGTTTCTATATGAGCATTTATTGTTGACAAGAGTTGGCATCTGTGTGGTATACCTCTCTAGAATAAAGTTGATATCTGCAACTTGGGAAGTTGCAACCTGGGTTGTTGCTGTTTGGGATTTTCCCTGAATTCTGAGTTTTGAGTCCTGGGTTGCTGTCTTGTCAATGGCATCTCTACTCACCAACAACTCTACCCCATTTAAATAACAAATTCAGTTGATCAATTAAAAATTCATGGTGACTATCACAATAAGAGTGGGCAAAATGGAATCGCCACCCTTATACTTGTAAGATACATGCTCTCATTGAGCTACACTCCTTTAACCTAGGAAACTTTTGGCTAACATGTCAGCCTTCTCTGGTCTGGTGCTGTGAGGGAAGATTAGCGAAAGTGTCATTAACAATTGATGCAGTCTTGGTAAATTCCAGGCTCAAGCACCTCCTGGAATTCTGTTGCATTATCATATCTTTAGGTCCTCAAGTCAGATTAGCCTTGTGTACACAAGGAACAAGTGAATGACTGTAAGTGTTAAAGTAGCATGTGTGCCTCAATGTCTGTAAATTTCTGATAATCAAATGTTCATATCAAATGTTTCATATCAAATTGTTTCTTTTTCAATGGTGTGCTGCCTTGACATTTTCATATTATTTAATGTTAATAATAATAATGTTGATTACAAAAAGCAAAATACCAATTGTTTACCATCTTGATGAGAATCTTATAATTACCCAGCAAGCTCTTCTCTGTGTTTTGATTTCAATAAGATATCAATACAAATTAATAAAGTTACCTCTGGTTAGTTATTTACACATTTCTTTTTGTCAATTGTCAAAAAATAAATTGTTTTCCAAAAAATTAGACATGTTTGTGATCAACCAAATTCTTTTGTTTTTTTATATAGTGCAGGACACCTAGTCCCACAACTTTTTATTGGTCTTGTATATCCTTTAGTATACCAGAAATGGAAATG